CAAATGGCGTACTGCATCCAAAATTAAGTTTTTGCCTCCGAGTTCCAAATGTTTTTATGGTAGAATTGTTCGCAGCCTTGAGAACTAATGCTGGGTTTGGTTGTAAGCGCTCGTTGGGTGTTGGGGGAACTACACTAATTTCTGCACCAGTATCTACCAGGAATTGTGCCCCCGTTGTTTTGTCTGTCACCCTGAATAGACGGCTGTGGGACGTGTGTTGGCCAGCGACCGCAGTCGTCACCGACCGCCGGCCTTTTCGTTTCCCAACGCCACCGTTTGTTGGAAAGCACAAGGTTGTGTGCACCGTTTTGCGTGTACCCCAAATTTCCGATGATACCAGCATATATTCTGTTGTAAGCTATATTTATGCCTATTGCGTGAGTGGCTACGTTGTCTTCTGTACGTTGTGGTAGGTTGTCTATTAACCCTCATTGCCATTAATTGCTCAGTGAGCACGTCGATTTTACGTTCTAAGGCTTCTACGCGCTCGTTTGACGTTTTGTCGACTCTGATGGCTTCTGCTTTATTCAGTGGGTCTATCGTGATAACTTTATCTGGTATTCTGCTAGTGGAAGCGACAGATTGAGGTGTTGACCTCTCGTACATGCGATCTGCGATTTCAGTGAGCCTTTCTATGTCAATGTCGTCGTCTCCGAAGGCAAGAACCTGCTGGATGTTTTGCGGAAGTCGTCGCAGCCAGATTTGATAAAAGAGACGTTTATCGATTTCTCTTCCTGCAACTAGGCTTTGCATATGCCTCATGAGTTGAGATGGGGTTTTATCACCTAACTCAACATTGCTTAACAGGCGATCGAGTGCTTGCCTATCTGAAAGCGAAGTGCATCGCAGTACCTCTTCCTTCAACTTGTCATAAGGCGCTTCTGTGCTGGGATGAACGATGTATTGTCGTACCTGCTCGGCGACTTCGTCTGGTAGCACTGTACTCAAAATGCCAAATTTAGCTGTCTGTGATGTGAGCTTATTGCTAGCCAAATAATGTTCCAGTCGAGCAAACCAAAGATGAGGGTCTCTGGGCTTAAAAACTGGTACAGTAAGAGAGATAGCACTAACAGATCCCAGCTCTAAGTTATCAGAGGTATTGGAAGATATGTTACAATTCGTAAAAAATTGGTTTAAGAGTAACAAAATAGCAAAATTTTTGCACAATAAGAATATGGCAAAACAGAAAAATGCAATGCAGGTGCTTACCACAAATTACTGCAGGTTGTGCGATGAGCAAACACAAGAATGAGTTCGGAATATATAATAAATATATAGATCCACGAAGGTTAAAGTTTTATTAATCCAACAAGTGTAACAACGCGTCGAGGTCAAAAGTCGTCGTCGTCGGAGTCAGCAAGTTATCGTAGGGCTCACCAATTTGTTGCTGCTCTATTTTGACTGAACTAGAATGCACGTATATCTTAGTACTTCTTCGCGTTTATATTTGTGTCCTAACGCTGTGATTACTCGACATCCACAACGTAATTAAAAAGGCACTTGCGAAGGAATACGACAGTGTATTATTGCAGCAATCAAAATTCAAAAATCGAGCGAGTACAAAAAGTATCAATTGTTAACATGCATGATTTAGAGTAATAGACAAATGAAAGTACAATTACACAATGAAAGTATAGTACGATTATGAGTAATAAAACGGGTCACTACAAGCTAGACGAACGGTACCGATACCGTGAGAGAAAACTTAAGATTAAGGGTTTTCCTTTTGTCAAAGTTCTAAGTCTGATGATCCCGAAACCTCTGTGGATGGAGTGTGGATGCACCAAACTAAGTTAACAGTGTGCCATACAAATGCCTGTAACCCGCCAAAATATGGACTGAGCTGGGTGATATGACACACTCCGGGAGCCCAGATAGAATTATCTCCACAGATACATGACTCACGTCCGATACAACTGATGATAGGGTAAACCTACCAAACTCCACAGAACATAGGAAGGACTGAGTGAACCCAAAAAGAGGGTGGCGTAGTTGTCTATCTTAACCGTGCGTAGCACTGAATCTCTTGCACGCGAAATTGGAGTATGTAAGATTTTGCGCCTCAGACTTAAATGCATATGCCAAGATGTTGACTTCATTGCTATATACTGTGGTCCCGACTGCAGAGAGAGAAGCTAGGCTCACGGATATCCAAACGTCAGATTCTCCTAGTCAGCGACCTCAACCTACCAACAGTTCACTGGTTTAGCTATACAACGCAATCTTCAGACAACTGTTTTGACTGTAAACTTTTGGAATCTCGTATTTCGGTAGCCCTAGTCTAAACTGTTACGAAGCTTACGTGCTATGGCTCACAGCACTCCTCCTCAATCCTGGACCTCATGTTGTCCCATGATCAGGATGTGGATCTCATACAACATATCCCCCCTTAGAAAGGAGTGATCATGCTATGCTCACTTTCAGGGTTCACAACATAAGCATCATGGGCCAAAAACCCAGCTCGACTAAACCTTTGGAAAGCTGACATAAATGCAATCGTCTCAGCTGCCAAATCACTGAACTGGCACATAAATCCATAATCTCAAGCAGAGGCTGCGTGGGACCAGTTTAAGCAACTCTACGCTCTGGTAACTTAACCTTTCTACCCTTGGCGTTTCCCAAAGTATGGAAAACATTGTCCTCCATGGATAAACCAAAAGATTCATAGACTGATCAGTGTTGGTGTAGATGATGGATCCTGTTTATTACACTTTAGACTTCTGAGACCAGAAAGTTATACGCCGTCATTAGGAGCAAAGCTATTACAGAAATCCTCCAATCAAGGATCAAGTTTGAAACTCGTCTAGCTCAAAGTGAAACGACGCAACCCATGAAAATTTTCTCGCAGATGAACTTCAGGAATAAGATATCCAATGGGGTCCCAAACGTAACTGCTGACAACGACGTAATCAGAGAAGACCAGGAAAAGTCAGAAGCAATGACAAACTAGTTTTCCGAAGTGTTTGCCCAGGAGTTGTCACTCTCCATAGGATCAGCTCTGGTCTCATTAGAGTTTTACAGAATAGATTCCGTCAGTGTCAACCAAAACATAGTATCCATTTCTCCAAAGCAACTGGATGCAGGGAAGTCAGTGGATCCTGATAATTTCCATAGAAGGCTTCTCTAGAAGCTACCAGCTCACGTAGCCAGCCCACTGACTGCGATTTTGAAACTCTCCCAAATGGAGTGTTGCCGTGCGACTAGAAAGACGTCATAGCAACCCCCATCTACAAAGTAGGATCAAGAAAATTCCCTTGAAACTAAGGGCCTATTAGGATACTGTGGAGAGTCACCAGGATGGTTATCATGGCATATCTGCGAAACAACAACTTTTTATCCAGGGCACAGAATGGCTTCCAAGGAAACCTACTACATCTGTGAAACCTCCTTACGACAAGAAGGAGCTAGGTCAAGTCAAAAGACAAGAGAAGACCCGCCGACGCCGTCCTCACTGGCTTCAGGAAAGCCTTCTACAGATTACCTCATAAAAGACAGCTCACTAAACTGGAAAGTCTTGGTATCAAAGGCGGCTTACGATAGTGGATTAAGGGATTCCTCATAGGTAGGAGACAGAGAGTCAGAATCAACCCAAAAATCTGCTCCTGGACAACAGTACGTAGCTGACTACCAAAAGGCAGGGAACACTGGTCTCTCTTGTTTATTTTTTTATATCAATTAGTTATATGCACCCATGTATACCCAGTGGTCCTATATGCAGATGACTTTAAAATTTGGAGACAGCTGAAGGGCGACAGTGATACGTTCACGTTCCATAGAGACCTCAAATAGTTGTCGGAGTGGTCCAAAGAATGGATGCTCCCGATCACTATAGAGAAATGTGCGACCATACGCATTGTACATGCAGGCATAAGCTCCTACGAGCTAGAGGGAATTACAACCCATCAGTCCAGACTGATGCGGATCTAGGTGTCATAGTAAGTTATGACCCGAAAAATTTCAGCGTACTGCCGCGCCATGGCAGCATGTGGTTACATTTATTTGGGCGATTCCGGGAGGCTTTACTGGAATCACCAGAGATATGTTCAACTACTTATCAGCACCTCTGATTAGGTCAAAGCTGGAGAGCTATGTACAGGCAACCAGTCCTTGTCTTTCAGGGGACTCGCATATTCTAGAAAGGGTTCGAAGGAAAGCAATACTGGTTAATCCTGGCATGACTAATTTATCATACGAGAAGTGACCAGACAATTTACATCTGTTCTGCCTATCATGCCGTAGACAGAGATATCTCATTATTATTGGTTACAGGATTTCATCATGAGCTGACATTGGTTAGAGAACCATTGGAAAACCTGGGAGTACTGGACAGCTGTTTCGTCCTAGTTTGGGACTCTTCAGCAGTTGGCACCTGCCGGGGTTCGAAACCAGCACCTTCTGGTTACAAGGCGAGCTCGTATACCATTAGGCCACTGGGACCCGATCCAATGGCCCATGAATTCGTGAATTGGCAGAAGTTAGAAGGTGCTGGTTTCGAACCCCGGCAGGTGCCAACTGCTGAAGAGTCCCAAACTAGGACGAAACAGCTGTCCAGTACTCCCAGGTTTTCCAATGGTCCTCTAACTAATGTCAGCCCTTGATGAAATCCTGTAACCAATCAACCAAATCCTTACAAACCAATACTTGAATATCTCATTATTTTTAAAATCTTGAATAATGACTAGGGACCTGATCTATTCTCTCTTTAACTTCCCATCGGGTTGGATCACCTTAAAGGTCATGGCAAGAGAGTTAAAAAGGCAAGATGAATATATACTGCTCAGGAGTACTGGTTCTCACACAAAATCATAAAATCCTGGAGCCGAATCCTAAAAGAAATGGTGTCTGCAACCTCAATTAACTCATTCAAGAAGGGTTTGGACAACGCAGAAATTCACTAGAAAATGATTAACATAGGCTCCAAGCTTTCTATGCTCAATCAACAAATCTGAATTTGATATTTTGAGGCGGTGGCTTTAAAGTTTTGCTTCAAGGTCAGGGTGATGGTTGGGACGTTTGAGGATATACTTCCTGGTCTCTACGGATGGCTACTTATAGTTGTTTTGATGGTTTTCATTTACTTCCTGACATATGTATTCGCTCAAATGAACTCATTTTTACCTTGGAGTGGTTCTAACAGGCTGCCAGCTGAAAAGGTATGTGAAATACTAGCTCGTAAAAACGATATTGGTTTTACAACGATTCTTTTAAATTTCACAAATATTTTCAAAGCGTTTTAAGTGACTTCAAACTACAATAGCCTAAAACGAAACTACCTAGTGAACGAATTGTTCACCTCGATGAATTTATGTTCAGAAATTGGTTTAACTTGACTATGAGGACTCCTGTCAGAAATTGGGAGGTGCTTGGATCATATACAAGATTATCTTATGTAACATTTTTTTAGCATTGCATTACTTGTATGTAGACGTTTATTTCAAATTATGCACTCCTACTTCCGAAGCATCTGATTGGCCGCTAGAGCTAGTTTCATTTTGGGCTGTCATAGTTTAGAGTCACCGTGTTAGTTTACTCTTTTTATGGGAGCATAGTGGTGAAAACGGTAAAAGCAGCAGGAAACAGTTCTTGATGGCTTTATTTGGTTACATTTCCTCGTTTTAAAACGTCCCCTCATATGGTTAATTCTTTCAAATCAAAGGGACGTAATAAACCGACACGTTCACTATTATTTAGCACGTGACATGCAAATATTGGCTAACTTCGTTGATCATTTAGGCATTGTAACCGCTCTTACAGAGTTCGGATAGTAGGCAAGCGGGACTATTGGAGACTCGATATTCGTTTTTTTGACATTATTTCTTAAGCGTGATTCAGTATTGCAAATTAATGCTTACATTGTTGGGGTACAGTGCACAACGCCTGCATGCTTTCAGTAAGAGTCATTTCATACGAAATGGTTTAGCTACCTAAGCTTTGCAGCTCTATCTTTTATTATCAAACCATGTGATTTCTACTAAGTACTTTTTTTTAATATTCAAAATAGGGCAGATGCATTAATATGGTAGCTGTATTATTTCCACCCTCTGCATCTCTAACTTTCCTGAACGCATTTGTATCAGTGACGCAAATTTCTAGTTCAGAATTTTGTCTATCTTCAAGGCCAACTCAACAATCTTTGACGCCGATAAATAGTGTGGTTGTGTTGTTTTGGCGCCTTAGTAACGCTGATATAGAAAAGAAAGGGCCCTTAAGCACTAAGGCAAACGAGACTAGTGGTTACTGTTCTCCAGCCAACCAAATCGATGCTCCGTGCCTTCCTTTAGATTAGTCTCTGATCGCTTGTCGAAAACCTCACTGATGCACAGGGGGTTTACTGTCTATGGTTCCCACTTGTTTAGCTTTACGTCTCGAACGTCATAAGTGTTTCTAATTGGAATCTGATGTTTTCCTAGCTGTTACTGAGGAGGTTCGTCTTTAATTTGTTAGTAGACATATGGAAGGGAGTGAAGAACAAGATTTTTATAAGATCAGTGCAAACTCTTTCTGACATTTCCTTGACATTTTATGTTTAGGACTTATTACCTTTCAATATGGCTCTATTTAGTGATATCAGCTCGTCTTTCCTTAAATTATGTATATATATATGATAGTGGTATAGGCCTGGTGTGCAATGACTCCTAATGGAAAGGTAAGGAGTGTGTAGACCGCTTCACTTGTTTGGTAAAGTTGCATCAGCCCTAATGGATTGATAACCGGCAAGATCTCAGCAAAAATGCAAAAATCTTGTATGGTATCTTCCAACATACTTTATCTGTGGCGTAGACGTGGTATCCGGCTATTGATGAAACGTTTGTACTGCTCAGTAGTTCTTCTCTCAGTCCTTTATTGCTATGCTGTAGGACGTAGCTGTTGAAAGTGGAAGATATGAAAAGACTATCTATCTTTGACCCCAGATGTTGGCGTTCTATCTCCTGTTTTAAATGAGTGATATAATATGGTGAGTAATGTTGGTGTAAAGGAAAGGAGAAGAGCAAGTTAATGGATTAGATTATAGAACTGCATGGATTGGACACGTGTTATGCATGCTGAGCTAGCAGATTTCTCATGGAGCAATGTTAGCTGACATGGAACTATGTTAGAAAAGAGATAGAATGACCGAACCCAAACCTGACCTCAAACTAGGATGTCACATAAATAGGTGTAAACTGTCTGTCTGACGTCCTCGAGATGCTATGAATCATTGGCTTCAGACTGTTATTCATACGACTGAAAATGCTTTCCAATGGTGCAGATGCATGCTGTCTTTGTAATCTTCCAGATCCCTTAAGTCCTCATCGTTCTCCGTGTAGTTATTCTTCCTCTCATGCGTTTTTGTTCATTATATTTGTTTTGAATTTCGTCTCTACCTTATGTTTGATACGTAGAGTTTAGCAACTTCAATTGTTACACTTATGTACAGAGTCCTACGTTGAGAGTTCAATCACATCACCTAGTATACGATGAACTAAGGTGTTTTCTGGATGCAGTATACTGTATGGGACTATGTGTCCTCAGAATAAGTCTCCATGAATGGTTCATCGCTCGTGAAATAGTTATAACTGTCCTCTCTTCCTGGCGGTGGAGAGTAATTTGTTTTGCTTTAGAAATGGAGTTACATTTCTCAGCACGGCTACTAATCGAACACTAGCATCACTGGTAAGATAGGCTAAGTTCATTGTGACTTTGATGGCTGTCTGACGATTAGATTCTGTCAGTGATTCAATTTTTTCGGTCCATTACGTCAGGTGGTTACTCACAGTTTACTCGGAAATATCAGAATTTATTGGTTAGATGGAAACATCAGGTGTATTTGGCGAATTGGAAGTTATTTCATATCATCTTAGTTACCGGAAGTAAAACGTTGGGTGTTCGTGAGACGAAAGAATGTCAATAAGCATTCTATGAATACTTTCGAATGCCTGACAGAAAACTTGTATAGAAGTTCTCGTTACTTGTAACGCCAATGAATAGTGTTCTGTTGCTTTCGAACGGGACTATCACTGTATTCATACTTCTAAAAATTATTTAACATATGTGGTAATTGGTTGGAGGGTTTCATCATGAGCTGATATTGGTTAAAGAACCTTTGAAAATCCTGGGAGTACTGGATAACCGTTTCACCCTAGGTTGGGACTCTTCATCTGTAGGCACCCACAATAAGTGTTCGAACCCAGGACCTTCTGGTTACGAGGCTAGCGAGCTCGTAGACCATTAAGCCACTGGGACCCGATCCAGTGGCCTATGAATTCCAACTTCTGCCAATTCACGACATAGCGCGACCACTTAGCAGTCTTCGATAAGTAACTGTCCTCACCTTTGTACTGTACTCTAACCTCCCACATCTTTTTATTCCTGTTGACCAACTCAAAGTGGATCTGTACTTTGGTAGTTTCAGTATCCATTTGTATATCCATTGCAATCTCTATTACAATATTTTAAAGTGCAGAATACTTTGCGATTGACTTCCTGTAAGACTGACTGTATTGGCTGCTTTGATTGGACACATTTCATACTCAGGCACCAAAAATGGCAACTCAAATCACTGTAATAGTTCGAATGAGCAAATAGTCTGTAATAATAGAACTTTGTAATGATTACATCATCGATACCTTAAGCTTATCGTAATTGCTGTGCCGTTGTTTGCTCCATAAGCAGTAAATTATTATTACTATCATTCAACTTAACGAAAACTGATTATTTACTTGATGGTAACGACTAAATTGATTAGTGTCCGTTTTGCAGACAGGCTTCTATGCGCGTTTACTTCAATATTGTTGTTACTTTTCACTTTTTATTTGTTTGTTGGTGACGGATAAAACTCGCCTCCTTGATACCATTTCTAACCCTACAGCGCAACAAAATAGCTTGTCTGTTAGCATTGCTGTTGGTAGCCATACTACGAACTATATTTAGCCACTGAAACCTTACATTTTGTGAATATTAACAGACATATGGTATCTCTACCTAACTCCGTAAAAGAATCTACGGCTATCGACCAAAGGGAGTATGTACTGCTCAACAGTCCGCTCCGTGATCCTTTATGGCTGTGAGACCTGGCCATTGAAAATGGAAGACATGAAAAGGGTAGATGTCTTTGATCCTAGGTGTCTTCCATTTTAGATGATATAATAAGGTCATCAATATTGAGGTTAGGCATCGGTCGAGTCCCAGCTAGGTAAGGAGGGGAAATCAATAGACGAGGCTGTGAAGTTACATCGATTTAGAGAGATGGTTAGGACATGTGTTACATATGCCTGACTAGTCATCGCCTTCCTCGACAGCGGGCAATGTTAGTCGCTGACGTAAGATTAGTTAGGTGGGAAAAGAGTTGGCCGGTGGTCAAACCAAAACATGGCCTCATCAGTCAATGAAATCCACGACAGTTAGTCTAAGCCAGTGACCCAGGGAGGTGTAGACTTCCTGGTTGGGGTCCTCGAGACGGTAAAAACCAATGGCTGGAGACAATTTGTGCTATGGCTCAAAATCTTCGTCATCATTGGCTGGCGCAGACGCATCCACTCCTTGTGACTTATAATACCCAATAAAACTATATTGTTCTGGAATATTACTATTCTTTTTGGCTCATATATCTGTTTACTATCTCTATCTTGCATTTATTTGTACTTTCTTCTCTTGCTTTGTGCGTTACATGGAAAGAGAGTGGAGACTCGAACTGCTGCACATTTGTGCTGTGCAAAGTTCTACGTTGAAACTAGTCAGTTAGTCAGTCTTAGTTTTTGTTGTTTTTTGTTTGTGGCTGTTTGGATGCCTTTTCCATCATATTTTGTCCAGTAGTATTCGTTAGTGGGGTAGGTATAGTAGTCAGACATTCTTAGGAATATACATCCATCATCCACCCATCTTTTCTCTACACAAGTACTTTTGTTTCCAATGTTACTGACCGTATGGCTACAGTAAATGTGAGACTGTAGACAGCTGTTACAAGGCAAGCAGAAACTGGAAGGTGCTGGGTTCGAAACCTGGTGGGCATTTATTGTCGATGAGTCCCAAACTAGGACGAAACATTTGTCCAGTACTCTCTGGTTTTGAGTGGTCCTCTAACTGATATCAATTCGTGGTCATACAAAACAAATAATATCCCTACAAACAAACTCTTGTAAAGTAAAACTGTGAACCAAATTTGCGATTTCCAATC